AAACTTGGCATTCGGTTGGTACGACTAGCCCTATAATTCATCAAAACAGTCAACACCTTACATGTTATTCTGTTCACAACTTTTGTTCCATGTAATAGGCAAAGCAGCAGTGGCATTTTTTTTAAACAAGCTAAAATTTAGAGCCCAGCAATAAATATGCAAATACGACAAATGCTGGCAAGTGGAAGATTGATTGTCCCTCTCTGTAATACAATCATGCATGCATATCAGTTAATTTATCTTCTACTCGGTAATGAGAATCCATAATTATTGATGGGGTAAGAGAGAGGGTTCCACCCCCATACCATTCACCCTCTTATTAGTCTCTATTTAATTCTTGCTAATTTTATTTTTATAATGCTTTTATCATTCTGTAAGTCTCCCAGAGTCGCTTCAACACTGAAATGGGTGTCACATCAAATACAAAAATTAAAAAAAAAAGTTCTTCAGAAATTCTTGGCCAACTTTTTCTCCAAACTTTAGCTTGAATGATTGTATTTCTATAGGAATTATATTCAATAGTTTGTAAGAATAATACAAATTCTTGAGATATAGATAATAGTCTATCAACATATATTACACATGTAGACATAAAAATAAGATGCGATTGGAGACATTCACAGTGATAGAGCTCAATTTTTTAAACAATGGTTTGTTGAACATGTATGCTGTCCCATTCACACACACACACCAGTGGTTTAGTGCGTTTATTAATATCCCCCTCCCCACGACTCCCTACACCAAAAACCCAGAACTGTCCCAATTAAGTCCAGCCATAAGGAGACCAATGCTAGTCCATCGAGCAATGGCCAGTGAGTCTACAAGGCACTTGAAGGTTTCCCAATCAAAATAAACCCACCAGGCAAATTAAATCCACAGTACAAGAGGGTTCATGAGGCAAGAAAAGTCCAGAGTTTACAAGGCACAATCCAAAACAAGGCACTGTGTCAGTTCAAAGCAAGGAAGAATCACAATGACCAGAAAACACACAGCTAGGAAACGAGCACATTCCCAGCATCGCTTCCATCTGTCTGCTGTGCTAAATAGCCAGCTTCCAGTGCAGCCCATCAAGAAGGGTGAGGCTTTCTCCTTGTGAGTAATCTGGCTGACCTTCTCTGTTCGTGCCTTTTCTCTTCTCTACTTGTACTTGGATCAAGTGCAGAAGGCAGTTCCTCTTCCTCATCACCGACTGGCTGCAGCTCCATGCTTTCTTCACCTGAAGCCTCAGACTGTCCTGCTGCAGCTGTACTTGAGCCAAATCCCTGTCAGACAGCTGTTTGGAGCCATTAACCAATTCCCCTTCAGACATGCCTGGAACTAGTTCATCTTCCTCCAAGTTGATATGTGATCACAATTTGTGAATTTTTTTGCTAGAAACCGGCATTTATTTCTGATTCCCAGCAAAAACCACCCATTAGCTTAAATGGGTTTGCTTAATGACTTCTCTGTCTGTTTAATGCTTGCTTCAAGATTGGCTGACTTCCTGCATTGTGCTAAGACATAGTTTGCATGGAGTACAAATAAACCAGGGGTAATAAACCACAATCCCACTTACTAACCCAGAAGTGGGCAACAACGGCAAATTTACGACCTGTGAACTTCAACTTCAATTTCTGAGCATGGCTGGCTAAGGAATTCTGGGAGTTGAAGTCCACAAGTTGTAAAGTTGCCATAGTTAACAACCCCTGTGCTAACCCCAACCAGGCAAATGACAGGCAGAGTTTGAATCTGCCAAACGGTTAAGTCTCATTCCTAAAGGCAAATATTAGCACATTTATCCATGTCAATGACACACCCAGAGACCCCACTCCCATGAATCCATGGAAGGAAAAAAGGAAGTTGCATTTCTCTAAAACTACCATTCCATTCCCAGAAACGAAGACTGTGTGGCCTTCAGAGCTTTCTTCCTTCTTGAAGCATAGAAGAGCTCTGTACCATTTGACGACATGAAGTTGCATCACTAGCCCCTTCCTCTGTTGATACTGTATTGTCATTGGTCTAATGACAATACAGCTGCTGACTCAGGAATTCTGGGAGTTGAAATCCATGAGTCATAAAAGAGCCGAGGTTGCCTACCCCTGGTCTAATCATTATGACCTGTGTTAACATCTGCCAAGTTGCTAGCAAACTTGGTTATAATGATTATGGGATGTTGTGGGTGTTTTTGCCTGCTATTTTATGTTATTTACAATTTTGGTTGTGTTTTTATACCATTTTTACTCTGTTTTTAGTTGTTAGTCATCCAACATCCAAGTACATGAGATGGGTGGCTTTATTTATTAAATAAATAAACAAATGATTGGTGAATATACACAGCCCCAAGGATGTTATATCTTCCTTCAAAATGGGAGGGCCCTACAGGTAGTCCTCGGCTTACAACCATTGAGTGACAGTTCGAAGTTACAACAGGACTGAAAAAAAGTGACATGACAATTATTCACACTTACGACCTTTGCAGCATCCCCATGGTCATGTGATCACCTTTTGTGACCTTCTGACAAGAAAAGTCAATGGAGAAGCCAGATTCAGTTAACAACCTTGTTATTAACTTAACAACCATAATGATTCACTTAACAACTATGGCAAGAAAGGTTGTAAAACGCGGCGAAACTCACTTAACAACTGTCTTGCTTAGCAACAGAAATTTTGGGCTCATAAATCAAGGACTACCTATGTTTGACTTCTGCATTACTGAAAGGGAGAAAGACTGATGGGCAGGCAGAATAATGAAGTGGAGAAGGCAAGGGAGTTTCCTTTGGGAAGATTGACTTGTATTTCACACAATCAATATTTCCGTGATCTGAGGAGAAAAGGCTTCTGGGAGACGTGTTTTTTGTCCAGCAGCCTTGGCAGAAATTGGTCATCTTGATCCAGCTTCAGCCTGCCTTGGCAACGGGCAGGCAGTGCGATAGAAGCTCCATGTGAAGTACACGTACTCCAGGAATACACAGGAAATAGACCACCCCAGAGCCAGGAAAGGTAGGGGAATTTAGATGTGAATGTCCTTGAAAGGATGAGAAGATTTTCTTCTCTTTCAACATTGTGTTTCGGTTAATAAAAGCCACATTAGGAAAGCATAGTTGGTGATCTGATGTTCATGTGAATGCATTATTCTGTGCATGCATCAAAGGCAGGCAGTGTTTTGGCACCCTTTTTAAAATCACTTTTTTATGTGAAAGATGTACATGGAGACAAGGTAGAAATATTGCCATGGCAACAGGCCAGAATGCTTGGCTTAGATTTTCATGCTTTTTTTCCCCCAGAAGTTGGAAGTAATATTTTTAATATTTGTAGGACTGTGCAGCTGTTTACCTATTTGCTTTTATTTCCTATTATAATTTGGGCAATTGAGTATAGGAGTTCGTCGTTAGGTTTTAGCAGTGTGATCTTGGAGGACACAAATTGTAACGTAAGTGCCATTTGTAGACTCCACATCTCCCAACATATATGAGCAATGAGATGCATCTCCCCATCCCTTTCCTTTGGTTAGTGTTAATTTGGAATTTATGAAATGGTTGGATAAATAAACTGAAAAGGTAAGATTTTGAAACCCAGTATCATTTTAAAAATTGCGAGAGAACGGGGGTGTTTGCCAGGGTAATGGATCTTAGACGTCATGAAAGCTATTTAACTTTTTTTCTGAATTTGTTAAGAGGTTTAATCACTACTACTGTTAGGGCTCCCTCTTTCTCCTCCAGGTCCCACCTCTTCTGAAATAGTCCAGTACAAGCAAATCAAGTTATTTTGTACAGGCAATCCTTGACTTACGACCATAATTGAACCCAAAATTTCCATTGCTAAGTAAGACAGTTAAGTGAGTTTTGCCCCATTTTATGATCTTTTTGTCACAGTTGTAAAGCGAATCACAGTAGTTATTAAGTGAATCGTATGATCATTAAGCAAATCTGGCTTTCCCCATTGACTTTGCTTGTCAGAAGCTGGCTGGGAAGGCTACAAATGGTGATCACATGATCCCCGGGACTCTGCAACTGTCATAAATACGAGGGCAGTTCGGAAACAAACCTCCATTTGGTTATCAATGACAGACACTCGCAAATGCAGAACTTTTATTATGCACATTAAAAAACTACAGCATTACATTATTTTTTGACATAATCGCCATTCAAATTGAGGCACTTGTCATAACGTCTTACAAGGTTTGAAATTCCTTAGTAGTAGTTGCTTGGCACCAAATCTGGGCTATGGGAGGTGATCCAAAACATCCCAATGGAACTGCTTCAAAGGTTCTTGGGTGTGTCTCGCGGTGTGCAGGAGAGCATTATCGTGAACCAACTCCACACTGGAAGTCAGCATGCCTCTGTGCTTGTTATAGATGGCTCGTCTTAAGTTTTTGTAACATTTCACAGTAGACTTCTGAATTGATGGTCAAACCACGCTCCATGAACTTCACTAGCACTACTCCTTTGGCACCTTGACATTTGGCAGGATTTTTTATGGCACCACTTCCGGTGTGGTGTTGGTTCATGATAATGCTCGCCTGTATACTGCTAGACATACTCAAGAACTTTTGAAGCAGTTTCATTGGGATGTTTTTCATCATCCCCCATAGCCCAGATTTGACGCTGAGCGACTACTACTAAGGAATTTCAAACCTTGTAAGACGTTATGACAGGTACCTCAATTTGAATGGCAATTATGTCAAAAAGTAATGTAATGTTGTAGTTTTTCTAATGTGCACAATAAAAGATCTGTATCTGCGAGTGTCTGTCATTGATAACCAAATGGAAGTTTACTTCCAAATTGTCTTCGTACATGCTAGTTGCCAAGCACCCAAATTTTAATCATGTGACTATGAGGATGTTGCAACAGTCATAAGTGTGAAAACCAGTCATAAGTCACTTTCTCAGTGCTGTTTTAATTTTAAATGGTCACTAAAGAAATGGTTGTAAGTCAAGGACTAACTGTATTTGAGAACAGGTAGATAGTTAGAGCTTCTCTCTCTCTCTCTCTCTCTCTCACCATCTTTCTCTTGATTGTAGGTGGAATGGAACAGTCATGAATGGTGATGCTCTTTGTCAAGAACCTCCCTCCCAGCTTCCTGACTGGCGGGAATTCTGCGAGCTCCATGCCCAGGCTGCTGCAGTGGACTTTGCTCAGAAATTCTGCCAGTTCCTGAAAGAAAATCCCCACTACGACACCCCTGGAGCCGAGACTTCCTTCTCTCATCATTTTGCAGCAAATTTCTTGGACATCTTCAGCCTGGAGGTCAACAGGGTGTTTGTGTCCAATTCCCCTACGAAATATAATATTGTCCCATTTGTGGGCCTTCAGAACTGCCACATGCCTTATGGACGGGATCTCTTGCCAAGGAAAGAGCAGACTTCCGTGGAGTCTCTAGATAGCATGGACCACACGCTCACCTCCAGCAGGTACTTAAGCCAAACCCAACAGGCTCAGGCAAGAAAAGTCTCCTCCTATGGCCAGTCCCGAAGCTCAGAAGATGTCTCTGTGCACAGTTCTTCTAAAACAAAATTCAAGAAAGGTTTTTCTCTGAGGAACATGAGCTTGTGCGTGGTGGATGGCATGAAGGAGATGTGGCATCGGCGGTCTTCTCCAGAGCCAGGCGCGGAAGCCATGCAAAGCAAACAGTCTGAGCGGGAACATTGTCCTCCGGGTAGCAAAGAACACAGCGAATCCAGAGAGAAATGGACCCACAAACTCTGGCTTTCAAAGGGGCAATCTTCTAAAGTGGATTTAGTGGACATTCAGAGAGAGGGAACCCTTCGCTACATGGTTGCTGATGACACAAACTGTGTGGGTAGCTCTCAGTGGCAAAAATGCCGTTTGCTGCTAAGGAAAGCAGTAAAGATAGAGGGGGAAAGGTTCCTTCTAGAGTTCTACGTTCCTCCTAAGGTAACCAGACTTCATTACTGAAGTTTTTGCATGCAGTTTTCCCTAGTAATTCATTTGTTTGCTGGTAGCCATAGAGAAGCCTGCAGATTAAAAGGCACAGAAACAGTGGATATTCAAACTCAGCCTCCATTTACAAGTGAAATTCAGGTGTTCCTTTTATCTGGTGTTTGCAGGAATATAAATCACTGTTTCAGCATTTGTAGGACTTGTTCATACCTAAATCAAGAACGATGGCAAAGAATCTCACATTATGGTTATACAGATGTGACATGTACTGTTACATGACATTTATGACCTTAGAGACACTGGCTCGACAACTGGGGGACATGTTCCAAATAATTTTATCACTTTGGATAACTTTTCAAAGCACCCCAACATCTAATATAGGTAGTCCTTGACTTACAACCACAACCGAGCCCAAATTTTCCATTGCTAAGCAAGACAGTTAAGTGAGTTTTACCCCATTTTATCACCTTTCCTTTACAGTGAATCACTGCAGCTGTTAACTTAGTAATGTGAAACTTTTACAACTTTAACATGACACCAGGACACTGCAACCATCATAAATATTATTACCCAGTTGCTAAATGTCTGAATTATGATCACATGACCATGGGGATGTTGCAACAGTCGTAAATGTGAAAACCAATCATAAGTCATTCTTTTCATAGCTGTTTTAACTTCAAGCTGTCATTAAACCGAAGGTTGTAAGTTGAGAACTACCTGTATTATATAGCTAAGTTAAGTATAAATTACAAAATAAGAGTTGTAATATAATATTAACATGTGGGCAACCTTTTCTACTTGTTTTTCTTCCATCCACACTTAAAAAAATAGATTGTGGGGAAATGTTTTGCTATTTCCGTATTTAAAATTAAGTAGGTCCTGATATATGTGGGTCAGATGATATGGTAGCTACTCCCATTTCAGTAACTCTATATCTTATATCTCCATCTGAGTACTCGTAATTGAGTTGTTCATTATTTCAGCACCTGTAAGGATTCTTGGATGACTTGACTATTCTGGGATAGATAATGCCAGACTTTGCTTTTTGGAGCCCCATATAGTCTTGGCAACTTCCAGTTTGTTGTCCGTGAAATTAGCAAACGCTGTGTCAGATGCTTCCTTCTCAAGCTGCTTTGGCGTGCAGCTCTTCCAGATGTCAATGTTCAAAAATAGTGCAGAGTGCAACCTGAGAGGTCTTGAGCTTCATGAGATGATTAGTGTTTATTTTTTTCTTTTTCTGTGAGCCATATGGACACTTTGTGTAGATCATGGATGATAGCTGAATACTTCTTTCATGATAAAATGGAGGGGTGGTTATTTCCCCCCCCCTCGGTTTCTTTATAGCAGTTCTGAATCTACTTTATTCTCATTCTTCACCACAGTTGTACAGGTAGTCCACGACTATCTGTACAGCTGAGCCCAAAATTTCTGTTGTTGTAACTCATTTCTTAAATGAATTTTGTCCCATTTTATGACCTTTCTTGCCATAGTTGTTTTAAGTCAGTGGTTCTCAACCTGTGGGTCGGGACCCCATTTGGGGTCGAACGACCATTTCACGGGGGTCGCCAAACAAGGCTGTCCACCATTTTTTCCCCTTTTCTTTGGCCACGCCCCTGGCACCCGGTGATATATAAGTGGTTGGGGGTCACCACAACATGGGGAACTGTATTATGGGGTCGCGGCATTAGAAAGGTTGAGAACCACTGTTTAAGTGAATCACTGCAATTGTTAAGTTAGTAACGTGGTTGTTAAGTGAATTTGCCTTCCCTATTGACTTTGCTTGTCAGGTCACAAAAGTGAACACGTGACTTTGGGACACAGCACAGGTCATAAACATGAACCAATTGCCAAGCATCTGAATTTTGATCACATGATCAGGGGATGTTGCAAAGATCATAACTGAAAAAACGGTCATAAGTTACATTTTTCAGTGCCGTTGTAACTTTGGAACTGTTGTAAATCAAGGACTACCTTTATATAGCTTGTTTGAAATATATGGCTCAGATAGGATAGCCTCCCTTATTAGCAATTTAATGTTGAATTCGAATCTTAACCTGGTTGATAAGGCTAGCTTTTTTCAGAAAAGCATACAGACTCCAGTATATACCAAGCCTTCTCAATCCAGATACTTTCCAGCCAACCTCTGGAATTTCCCATTAGCATTTAATCATGCTTGCTAGAAATTCTGGGGCTGTAGTACTAATCCATCTGGAGGTCATCAGGTTGGAAAAGATTAAACAGTCTGCTATCTGTTGGCAGAAAAGATGACTGTAGATCTCAAGAGCAAAATGAAACGAAGCAAAGAAAATCCCTAAATTGCAAGCAAAATTGTTCCATCACCTCCTTGCAGTGGCATGGAAGGAGGAAAGGAGACTAGAGAATATACGAGCTCAGGGCTCCCCTTGACTCATTCCTATGATGATTAAATAATTGTTGATTACTTTCAAATACATCTTCCTTGTATCTATGTAATTATATATACTGAATCAGATTATGGATCCATCAAGCGCAGTATTGACTAGGTGCTCTCCAGACTATTTCTGGCAAAAGTGAATTACAAAGAGCTAAATAATTTCCATTGGCATATCTAATGGGGGCCACCTGGGATCCTCTGCATGTAAAACCTGGACTTTCCCACTTGTTACAATAATCTGAGATAGTGTATTTGTGAACAGACTATTTGATGCATTCAGCCCAGTGATATCTGTTGCAATACTTGTAGGACTCCAAAGTATAAAGCAGAAGTTTTCTTAAGCTTTGCTACTTGAAATCCTTACTGTAGAAGCATTAAGCTAAATGTGCAAAGCAAGTACTCTCCTGTGGAATATGACTCTTTTTCGTTACGCAGTGGCTACTGGTAGATGAAAGCAAAATATTCCAGCCATTTCCCAGATTTACGCATATTTTTTATTTATTTATATCCCACCTGTAATTATTTTTATAAATAATTCAAGGCAGAAAACATAGACAATACTCCTTCCTTTTATTTTCCCCACAACAATAGCCCTATGACTTGGGTTGGGTTGCAGGAGAGTAGTTGAAACAAAGACACCCAGCTGGCTCTCATACTAAGGCAGGACTAGAATTCACAATCTCCTGGTTTCTAGCCTGGTGCCTTAACCACTAGACCATACCGGCTTTCAGCGGTGCTTCTGTTGAATTTTTTCTTATTTTGTTGTTTGCTTTCCTTGCCTTCCTTGTTTATGAATGAACTTGAATTTGTTATGGCTGTTCCCCCTCCCCCCAGTTTACTCTGGGCAGCTTACAAAATCATAATACACCATTTAAACAGCTAAAAGCATAAAAAATAAAACAGAATGTGACAGCCCTGACCAAAAACAACCTTAACAATAAAAATATCACAGGGAGCCCCACAAGTACATTAATTCCAGACCTCGGAAAAGAGTCAGGTCTTAAGTGTTTTCTGGAATCCCAGAAAAGTGGGCACCGTCCATATCTCTGGGATGATATGTTCCAGAGGGCAGGTCCAGGTCCCATAGAATGACAGACCTCAGTTGAGGGACCTGGGATGCACCGACTCTGTCCAAATATACAGGTGGGCAGAAACAGTTCAAGGTAGATGATCCCTCAGATAACCAAACCCTGTGCCATAAAGCAAGGGTCCTCAACCTTGACAACTTTAAGACTTGTGGACTTCAACTCCCAGACTTGTGGACTTCAACTTTGCTGGCTGAGGAATTCTGGAAGTTGAAGTCCACAAGTCTTAAAGTTGCCAAGGTTGAGCATCCCTGCCATAAAGAGCTTTATAGGTAACAACCAGCACTTTGAATTGCACCCAGAAGTTAACTGGCAGCCAATGCAGCTTGCATAGTTGTGGTGCCAAATAACCATAGTGTGAAGTTCCTATTACTGCTCATACTGCTGTATTTTGAGCCAGGCTGCAACTTCTAGAAGGTCTTCAGGGAAATCCCCATATACAGCAAATTACAATAGTTCAATTGTGAGACGACGGGGGGGGGGGGGGGGATGAGTGATTATATTCTTGCATAGCAATATGTCTGTGTACATACTCCCCCCTCTTAATGGATTGTTTCTTTTTAAAGACTTGGGAAGTGATTGATGAAGTAGCTTGTTTATTCTTCACTTTTCAGCTTGTGGCATCTCTCATATTTGTTCTCTTTTATACACCATATATGGCATTTTCCCTTCCTCCAAGTATTGCTCTGAGACTTGGAAAAAAATACAATATATTCTAGCAATTTATGTTGATACTAAGCAAATTGGGATTCAAGGTTCCTGGGAACCTTAAGCTAGTGAATTACAAAAAGTAATGAATTAAAATACTGCCATGCTTCTTTTTCTGCTATATTTTTGTTAAATTTTTTAAATATATGTATATAAAACTGGAAGGGGAACCTTCCTTCCCAAAAAAGAAAAAAGTCAGATGAATAAGCAAGGGATTTATAAGCATGATAAATTTTTCAATGCGTATATGAAGGCAACTGAATATACCATATACTATATCATTTAAAACCTGTTAATAAATACTCCATACTCCACAAAAAATATAAATAAAGGAGCCATGGACAACACAGTATGAATTCAAAATTTCAGCCTCAAAAAAATTATGATTCTCAATAAAGCCCACCCAATATTTGAAGCAAGAGAGGCTAACCTAAATTAATATAAGAGTGGGTGATAGTGAATAAGCTGAAGCTGAATCCTAGTACAGATGGTCCCATTTAGGCCAAAATTTCTGTTGCTAAGTGAGACAGTTGTTAAATGAGTTTTGCCCCATTTTACAACCTTTCTTGCCACAATTGTTAAATGAATCCCTGCAGTTGATAAGTTAGCAACATAGTTGTTAAATGAATCTGGCTTCCCCATTGACTCTGCATAAGACCCTGGACACTGCAACCATCGTTAATACATGCCAGTTGCCAAGCCTCTGAATTTTGATCATGTGACCAAGGGGAATGCTACAGCGGTTCTAAGTGTGAAAAATGGTCACAAGCCACTTTTTCAGTGCCATT